AGCAGCTCAGGAGTCAGAGGGGGGAGATGAAATCCCTCAGCTAAAACAGCTACAAGATGAACTGAGCTTTGAGTGAGGTTTGCATGCTTACATGTATAGTTGATAGGAGGGATCTAGGACCACTTTGTCCAAGATTGGAATTATCATGTAAAGAGTTGCATCATCTGAAATCGGTATGCTAAAGTAGCATTGCCGTGTGAACTGTGTTACTGAACGCCAACTCGTTTGGCTCAAGACTTTGGAAAACAGGCTGTGACGCGACCGGATACGATCGTTCGCGTTTGAGTCGGCCTACCAGGAGATAGACCAAGGTTTTAGCTTTCAACTTATGTATATATATATATTGCGATTATATACCAGGACCTTCCAACCGGTGGTTTTTGCACACCCCTCAACCTCTAAGAGGCTATTTATAATAGACATCCAAGATTATATATATATATATTATATACACTATATTTATACATAACTATACAGTGATACATGTGTTTATATCATTTATATCATTCCTTTTCTAAGGGAGACCCATAGACCCCCACTTCACTCCTCATGCCCTTCTCAGGTCCCGTCTTTCTCCGATCCCCTCGGCCCCAGATCGCCAACAATGCCAGCCTGGTGGAGACGGGCGGCCGCGCCTCCACGACGCTCCTGGTGCGGGCGCTCGAAGATGGGACGAGGATGGGGAGGAAGGTGGCCCAGATCCAACCCTATAGGGCTCCTGGCCCACATCCTCAGATGGTAATTAGACCTCCCTGGCACCTACCCCAACCACCTTCTGAGGATGTGGGAGAGGCCTAGGGCAAAAAGGAGCCGATCTGTCTTTTTTTGTGGTACCCGAGTCAGTGAGGGTGCTCAGGGTCTTGTGGTCAGGCCGGTTGGTTACCTTAAGAAAAGGAAATTGTTTGAACCGCTTGGGCAAAATAATAGAATCCCGGTAAGGTTCTAGGTCACTCTAAAGGTGGGGTTGGAAGACATTATTTGGTTGACGAATGTCACTAGGTGCAGAAAAACAACACAATGTTTTCGTTGGTTTGGTGGAGGGTCATTATGCGATATGCAGAAAGACATTCATGATTCATTGATGATTAATAACAAAAAATTCCAATCGAAACCGCCCCATACATCAGGTGTGCCCTCGAACTATAATCAACGTATACCTGGAGCATCAAAACCTGTTACATAAAAGAGGTGCAACTAGAATCATCGGGTATTCAGTATTTCGAGAAGGTAACCCGGACCCTTGGCTTGCAGTATTCTATGCTGATGTGGTTGATGAGAAATGCGTAGTAAAGGAGGCTCCAATAAAGGGCCCAATTCTGCCCAAAGTCTATTTTTGTACATCCTTAGTGGACATCTAAAAGAGACAAACAAACATGTGCTGTCACCCAAGACATTGTGCTGTGTGTTTTTTCACTCACCTCTTTTCTACATAGAGCGGGTGATGGTGAAGGTGCAGTTGTTTTGCACGTTCAATGTTGCTTCTGAGCATAATATGTTCATATTTCAATGTTCATATTATGAAGTTTGCAAATTCTTATGTTCCTTAAATCTATCTCGATACAGCAAATCCAAGGTGTGAAATATTTTGGAGGATCGGTCTTTTATTTGGAAACTACGCCCACATTCAAGCATGCTACCTTATCCAACCCCCCTCTATATATATTACAATGCTAGTATCCTTGGTGCCAGTGTCATCCTCGAAAAGACTTGACCGTTTCAACGCGTGTATGTGAGCACTCCGTTGAGGAAGATCCTTTAGTATCCTTAATTAATATTAATTTGATGTTGTTTCCTTGTAAGGTTTGGAAGTTTGTGTCTAAGACATTTATGTTCTGTAAAGGCTTCATTTACCATCAACAACCTATCCAAGAAGGGAAGAACCACCCTTTGGGCAAAAGGATAACTGGTATTAAACGGCGGCCATGAGGTATACAAATTGCAGCAATTTGCGACCTATCAAACCTGATGTCTTTGGTTTAGCTCCTTCTATTGTGTTTCCTTTCAGTGGTGGCTTTTAACATAAATATACATATACATCAATATTGGAACATGTCTCAACGTCTTTACACAATAAAGCAAATAAACTATATAACACATTTAGGTAACAAAACACTATAGGTCAAGAATCCTTGAGCCCACTCCCCACTCTCAAGAAAACTTCCAAAGTATTGTGTGTGTTGGTCTGATTCTTTTTGGTTTTAAGATGTTATATGTTTAAAGATGTCCGTTTTTGCTTGATTTTTTTAAATGCATAATAATGCATAATGAATACATATACTAATAACAGTTATAACAAATAACACATAAGGAACCATACGCACTCTGGTGGTCCCCTGTTCTGACCGGGCCTGGAGTGTGGGTAGTGGTGACCGTCATGTCTTTGCTTATTTCGGCTGTTCTCTGTTCCGTTTGAGTCAGCGGCAAATGTTGTTCCAACAAGTCACCACATTATTAGATATGCCCAGAATGATGCTTCAAGGCTGAAACCATCCATTTACAATTTACAGTAATCACTTCCGTAGCAGCCGTCACATCAAGCATTCTCACCTTGGTGTAACACCCGGCCGCAGAATCCGCCACGAGACTCCGCCAACTAGGCGCAGGTGAGACCCAGCAGACTTGGACGGAGCTTTGGCGAAGAAAGGCGACCGGTGACACGGTGACTCTATGACTCTATGGGTGTGTCATTCAATACCCAGACACTCTATGGGACTGCCATATACGCCTACATTGGGGTGGTTTGAGGGGTCAATGTAGGCATATATGGCATACATGGAGTGTTTGGGAATAGGGAGACCCCCCTTGGCCCAACAGCTGTAGACTGGTCGATCTTTGAAGAAAACCGAAGCGAACCATCGGGGGGTCGGAACGCCTGGGAGGTCTCCCATTTTCGAATACACTCATATTCACAACGTATGTGCACAGGCTCACAAGTGCTTGGAGGATGTACTAGTGGCCGTGGACTAAGTATATGAGCTCATGTGGTTGCGAGTTTGACTGTTGACCATGCATTTCTTAGCCTTGTACAGTGGTTTTAACTAAACACAATCTTTTGTGCTGGACTAACTAAGGTGGTGTTTCACTGTTTGGTTTGCTGATTAGGGCAAGTTGACAGAAGCGGTCGGTGCTATCTAAAACCTAAATGGGGTGATTTGCCGGCATGTTGCACCTTTTGCAATGCTGGAAAATGTGGAGGTTGGCTCATTTTACATTGTTTACTCTGAATCCAGTGGTGGGATCAGCTAGCAGGAGTACTCTTGCATCCACAGGTCGCCAAAGACTTTGGAAGACCCGTAGACATGGAGACATATGAAGCCGAGGTATCATGTGGTTTCTCCCAGATCTGTTGGACCAAAGATCTGTCCAAACGAGTCCAGACGGCACCGCAGTCCAGACAGTGAGCGAGTCCAATTCGCTTCATCGAGTTAGTTTTGTTTGGATTTGGTTTGGTGGATGATTTGTTAGAGTACCAGCTACACCAGGGTGTGAAATTCCTCTATGAACCATGGACCCATTGGGGTAGTTGTAGAGGACCTGTCTATGTCGACCTGTCTGCACCCGCTTTTCGTTTCTATAGAATGCCACACCTCGAGCTGGCTGTGTGATTCCATATAAACCATGGGTCTTGGGGAAAGCAAACCTTGACACCATGGATTCTCTATAGAGGATGGGATTTTGATGATTGCTCTCGTCATTGAACAATGTCTTTTGGGTACCTTGATTTTATAGAGACCATTTTATGGAGAACCATTTCAGAGGTACCTGGTGGTTCATCTTTTGGCGGAAGAAGCTAGTAGGTGTTCTGGTGTTGGCTGGTTGTGGCGGTGGAATTTGATGGGAGCGGGTAGAATCAAAGGAGTATATATTCACCCGGTATGTGCAGGTGAAGGAGAATTTGGCGGTTCCAGGGGGTAAATGGGAGTGATGCCTTTCAGAACCTTTAAAAGTTTGACTGTTTGGAGAACCCTGGGGTTCCACTATGGAATCAAAGGGACATGCTGATATTTATTATTGATTTTTGTTCGACCGGCTGTTGCTATTGGGGTGTGTGATTCCATAGTGGACCAGGCTAAGATTGCAACCGTGAGGGCTGTGATTCTATAGTCTGAAGCCTATTGTTTTTCTTCCTCTACATGGCTGAATTTTATAGTGAATAACCCTGGGGGTGCAAATTAGATCTATTTAGAATTGGGCACCCTGACAGGAAGCACTAGGTAGATTCATGCAGAATCACTCAAGCTTCAGCCTCCACTCTTTGAGGACTGGGCAAGAGATCAGCCTGCTGGAGATCCGAATTCGCACCGGTCGACGACATCAAATTCGTGTGCATTTGCGCTTGGTCCGCAATCTGACATGTGCAGATAAAGACATGGACGTGACATAAACGCCGATGTTCCCTCCAAGATCGATGTTCCCTGGTGACAAGTTCGGTTGCCAGAAACCATGACTGCATCTTGTGAGGTCGTGCTGCATCTGCGTATCTCTGGTCGGTACGGTCAGGTGTGTTCCTCCACCTCTCAGGGGTCCAGTGACTGTGGTTCGGACCGTCCGGACCCGGTGTGCCGGTGCCTGAGTTGCGGGCGGAGGTGCAAACAGCAGGGCCTGAAGAGGTTCCTGAAACAAAAGGAACACCAGGATCAACACACCTTCTCATTATATGACGTCGTTTTTGGTGACTTTTTGGATCCTTTTGGTATCTGTCAGAGTCGGTCCGAGCTCAGACATCGATGAAGATCTGTTCACCATGCAGTTTCATGGTCGGAGTGGCATGTTCGGTCCTTAAGTGAGATAAGTGAGTGTATGTTTTGACTGCTGACCATGGATTTCCGGCACGACTTGTCACGAACATTCACGGACTAATTGTATATACATAATACCCGGCCGTCTCATCCTCATTTTTTGACAAAATGGTTCGACCATGTATATATCAGTCCAAGACCACGGGGCCCCTGGATGTCGCTGGGTGGCGCTGGGTGGTCCGTAACTTCGTGGCGCCAGAGGTGTTCCGTGGGACACCCCAGCGTCATGGACGGCAAGTACACTTCGCTCCCCACACAACATCAGGACGCACAGTGGTGACTCGCTCGATGGACGTACAGCGGGGGGAATTTGAGGGGGATGGAGGGGACTGGTGGGGGGTGCTTTGGCCGCATGATTGTACTCTTGTCTCCCATTTGTCTCCCACTTGTGCCCCACTGGTCTCCTGTGGGTGCTTTGGATGCCTCAACAAAAGGGATGGAAAAACATCGAACAACCAGTGCCACCCCGGACTGTTCAAATGAATTGGTGCATGGGTCCATATGTAGATCCAAATAGACCGATGCTCCGGGACTTCAGAAACCACCCAAAGGGTCTTGGCTCATTCATCGAGGTGTTACCGCGCCTTGGTGTTCTGTCGAGAGGTCCCAGAGGTCCCTGAGGTCTTGAGGTCTTAAACCCCAAACTATCAAGTTAAAGCTTCATAAAGCTTCAATATTTCCGGCATCACAAGATCACGAGCCCCGCCAACCGCCGCTCTCCCCCCCAAAAAAAGTTGGTTGATTGAAGAAGAAGGTCCTCCGGTTCGTTGCTTGACACAACCGCTATGGCAGGTGTCCTCGAAACTTCCTCCACCGGCATCGTTTGGTCTTCCACGTGGAGCAACGACCATGCGAGACCCTCCAGGTATCACGGCCGACGTTCCTGAAGTTTTTCAGCGAAGTCACCGAAAGCACGTGTGAGTTCTTATGGCAAGCAAAAAGTGATGAACGTTTGAGAGTACTTGATTGGTTTTGACCAGATGTGATGTGCGACTGTTCCGGATGCGATCGCGCATGGGCATATGGCTTCGATCGCGCGTGAACGGGTTTCAGAGTTATCAAAGGTGCCAGGTCAGAGTCTGATGACCTGGTCTAAGTCATCAATTAGTTGAATACCCCAGCCCCGCTTGGCGGCTGCTGTGTTTGGCCAAACCTTAGCACCCCTCCAGCGCTAGGAAGTGTGTACACCAGCGCGCCGAAAGCGGCAGGTGGTGGCCTGTTGGCAGATGCTGGCATCTCATAAGTGTTCTTTTAGGTTAATGGTCTCATTGTGCCTCATTGGTTCTTTGATCGTGCCTCATTGACCTGGCATATGGACCTGATGGCCGAATGGTTCGATGCGCCCGCAGCTTCCACCCAAAAGATCCAAGGTGAAGATGCAAGGTCATTGGCCATCTAAGTATATATAGAATTATATAGATACTATGACGCTCATAGACCCTGTGGATCCACATACCTTACCTGAGAAAGTGAGCAGGGAGACTATTGAAGTAGGCGCCAGGAGGGCCCAGTCGTACCTTCTGAGAAGGTGGCAGTGGATCCATAGGGATAGGCCATATGCCATTTGTCCGTCGACCGGACGAGACCGTTTGCTCCTTCGACCCGTGCGCTTCGTCCAGCGCTCGACCGAGGCACTGCCGCAGGATTTGGCCGAGGCGCTCAGCCAACTCGATGCGACCGCGCCTCGGGCGAAAGAGCAAACCACAGCGCCCGGCTGTGGGGTGTTCGCAGCGACCAGGATCCTCCCAACAGAGCTTTATCGTTGATTGAGGGTTGTTGAGGGAGTTGTTGAGGGTTGTTAAGCTGTAAAGGGTCGTTAAGGATTCTGGAGGGTTGTTAAGCTGTTAAGGGTTAAGGATACATTGAGGGCTGTCAGGATATTGTTGGGCTCCAAGGGGTCTCAATGTTGTTGACCCGTCGGAGTGTGCTGGTATAGATTACCGCTTTAGAAGGGCAGTGCGGAGGACGTTCTGACAAGAAAAGACATCATTTTGGGTGGTTGGTGGTCCTAAACAGAGGTCACCCAGGTGCTATAGGTACTTGTACGGTAGATAATAGGTCATTTTTTGCTAAGCCACAGGCAACGTGATTCCCCAGCACAGGCCAGGCAAACTATAATATATCTCATCCTTGCCCTGCGCCGGCTCCAACGAATCCCGGTGGCCCGCCCGCCGAACGTCCAAGTACCCATTGGAGTGTCAACCTAAGACCCGACACTGAAACGCAGATCTTTACAGGGGTTTGGATCCGAAACCTGCCACCCATTCGCATTGGAGAAGGGCCCGGAATTCTTAGGATGTAGAATCTAAAAGAGGCCGCACATTCTAAGGATATACAGCCCCGCCCCCTCCTCGATGTATGGCATATTTATATGCCTTGGGGTGGTTGACCTGGGGTCAATGTCAATGTAGGCATATTATCATGATTATCTAATCTACATTCCATACATGCCCCCCCAAAAAAAAACTGAGTGACCCCTGCTTTGGGATCAACTATGCAAAAATGTTGCCTTAGGAGGTCAAATTGGGCTTTAGATTCTCGATAATCAAATAACTTCTGAGGATTTGTCAGTCCGTTGACGCATTCACCGATCCAAAACCACGAGTTCCTGGAGCCGCCGCACTGAGGACTCGCTGGACCCCATGCGCTGGGTGGCAAAAGAGAGTTGACCCCGGGAGGAACCCCCAAACCTGCCTGGCCGGCCTGGCCTGCAGAACACACTTTGGCACATCTCCGGCCCTCGGTTTATGGAAACAGCAAGTGATTCATCCCAGTGAAGAAATGTGTGTGTGTTTGCCCAGACGCTCCAAACAGCCCTTGGTCCCTCAAAACCTAGGGATTGGTTCGACCCCAGACCCCTCCATATGAGGGCCCAGGGTCGCGTCTGGGTGTGTTGTTTTGTTCCCGGATGGATCAGTTTTCATCACCTCTGAATCGACGTTCAACATCACTCGACTGCAACAATAATGAATCTGTCGACAATGTTCGAACAGTTGTGAGCTACAAATGCCCCACGTCGGTGCCTTCATTGCTCAAAGAAACGAATGATTTAACATAACTTACATATATACACGGTTGACAATTTCAGAGCAGCGGGCTTGTCTCAAAACATAGTGTTGAAATGTGTTGAAGCATGTGCAAAGTCATCAGTGGATGAGATCTTCAAGTTTCAAGAAATCCTAGCCTGGATCCTCGCCGGGCCGCCAAATAGACTACCCTACGACACCGTGTTCCGTGTTTTTCTATACCTCCAGTGACATCACATCACCGAATCGCTCATCTCGGATCTTTTGTGCTCCATCCGCTTCCGCTCCTCCGCTCCTCCGGTCTGCGGTCGGTCTAGGTCGGTTTCCCGCGGTGGATGGAGCGGGAGGACAGTCCCCGGGTCCGAGAGAAGCGGGAAGGCTTGGAAGGAGCGCGGTTACACGTGCGGAGTCTTCTTGCAAGCGCCCAAGGGCCAGGCGCGGTGTCGGTGTGGTCGGTGAAGTGGCGGAAAGTGCTTTCCAAATGGACTAGGATCAAGCACCTATACCAGTGATATACCAAGCCATGTGAGGGAAGTGCAATTGACTCTGTGACTTCTCTAACAGTAACCAACTTTTATGACTTACAGGATTTGATCCACATTGGACATCCCTTGGGTGACTCCTGGTATACCGAAATGTACCGAAATGTACCTCACATCAGCACATCAGCTATCGAAATCATCCTCATCCTCCGGCTGCACCGAAGGTCTCCTTCCGGCTGCACCTGGGCAACAAGAGTCTGCCAGAGAGCTCAGACTGGATGGGAGCGGTGGTCTCCGTCGCTCCCGTCCCCCCGGTGTGGGACGACTGTCCGGTGGGTGTCGGGCCCTTGGGCCGGACGCCGGACCTGGTTGGCCCATTGGAGAGGTCTCTAAGGATCTGAGCTGCAAATGCTGGCACCAAAGGCACAGAGTTTATTTGAGAGTTTATTGGATTTGATGTTCTGGCACTGAGAGGTAGAGAGGTCCTGAAACTCCACAGAATGCTTTACCGCTTTCAGGTGACAGGCCATGGAATCCTGATATATAACTTGGGCTGTCATTCCAATTGAAAGAAGACGTGCAAAAACAAGACTTTGGGATCACCATGTTGATAAAGTGCTTTAGTGTCATAGTCTTAGTGTTGATACATGTTCAAGCACCAATTTAAATTTGCATACCTTTTTGATCACACTCTTTGTGCTGCCCCACTTCTCTTGAATAACATCTATAAAACCATGGGATCGAGAATGACCAGCTATTGCTTGAATCTTTTTCACGGCTCGACACAAAGAGATGAACATTCATCATCATTCACTAACTTGGTAGACTGCAAGTCATGGAAAATCACGGCAATTAATTCATGGAGAATCATTCCACTTATTGGATAGAAACGCAGGAACATCATGACTATATGCTAGTTCTGGTACCAGCACATTCAGATTCCTGTAGAAAGTCAAAATACATAGAGTTTGGCGTAGGATTCGGTAGGATTGAGGAAGCTCCACTCCAAGACCCCACTGGTAAAATATTTGCAGAGACGAAATGGGTATGGACTGATCAAGCAAATTAGGTCAAGTTTTATAGTCACGTTGTCCAATACTAGACGATGGTAATGCTTTGCTTTTACTCTTTCTTTTTTTTTGGCTGCTTGCTTCTTGGGGTTCAACGAAATAAACTCCTAACCTGAATATCCCAGCACTTCTATGTCAGGGTGATTTCATATCCCCAGTGATTGGACCAGATCTTCCAAACCCTCCTTCGGTCTCCTCCCCTTCCCCTCCAAACCCTCCTTCCCCCGACCGACCCCTCTCTCCGCAACGCCGCCATGGGCGACACCACAGTGCCCGGCTTTCCGCCTGAGCCGGCGGAGCCCTCGGCGCTCCTGCGAGCGTTCGGGGGGGTCGGCGATCACCGATGGAGAAGAACGAGTTCATATTAAACTATATAGATTATATAGTACAGTAGTTATTTAATTAAATATATATACATGTAATATTCATAGTGTATGACAGTGTATGGTCATAATGAATAGCATATTAATGCATATTATATATAGATACACCTGGCTGGAAGCCCCTTACACTGCTTAGGGATCTCCATCCATCATTGGATCGTATATTATGTATACATCTATAAACGATAAAACTATGAAACCCAAAGTCTTGAACCGACCCAAGGTTGGTTGTACAGAGACCCCACTGTTTCGGATGCACTTGGGAATGTTTGGTGGCTTTGCCTTGGGGTCACTACATGCATTTTGCTTTGCTCGTGAAGTTGCTTCGCACTTCACTCCCGGGCAATGTCGGTGGCGAACGGACGCGAACGTTGCCAGCGTGCCTCTCAAGGTGCTGTTATGCCCCATCACCCAAGTGATGTTCCGTGACCCCGTCTTCATCCCTGAGAGCGGCAACACCTACGAGCGCTCCGCCATCGAGACGTACTGGTCGGGGCGACCGAAGTGCCCCCGAGATCCATTGACCAATGTGTCATTGTCCGGCACCCTGCAGCTGGGCAGACGACGACGTGGGACGAAAGGGTAGCAGCTGCGTCTTTCTTACACATTTGGGGGTCTATAGCAGCTACGTGCTTCTCGACCGATTCATGTTTTTAATATTGTTTAATTTAAAGATCTTTAAATATATTTAAGATACATACCCTGCTTTGCCACCCACCCGCCCACCGCAAGAAAGATTTGCACTTCTGAAGACCAGTTTGCTTTGCACTTCACACTCTCCGGTGCTTCCCCGCGACGAACTGGGAAGCCTTGAAGCCTGAGGTATACGAACTGGGGCCTTCGGCGGGAGGTGCAGAGCTTTCTGGATGAACATCCCAGCTATGTGCCGCAGGGCTGGGAGGTGCGACCCATCCCCTCTGGAACACGACTGTGGTATATATGTATATGGTACCCGAATACCTGCCACTCTGGAGTGTTTGGGATGTAGGTAGGGTGTGTCTCAGTAGGGTGGAGATCCCGAAGAGTGGTGGGCGTCCGGGTCGGACCCGGGTCGGGCCTGGGAGACCTGGGAACTGGGAACTGAAGGTGTTTATGTTTAAATAACACCCCGTGACCGTGATACAATTCACGACACACCTTGGGATACACCTGTGATGGACTCATGATACACACCCATGACACACCCATGATAAAACCCATGACACGTGTGTCCTCCCAGTTGTTTGGGAGCTCCCAATCAATCCCAATCACACACCAGGTCCGCTGCAAGTTGCACCACTGACTCCACTTCTTCTCCCGGCAGGATCGCTCCGTGCCGGTGCCTGCACAGCTTCCGAGCTCCTCCAACCAGCCACGCAGATGGAAACGACGCTCGACCGGCGAGTGGTTGCGCACCATGGGCGGGTGCGAGGTGGGCAGCAAGTGGAGGAACATATTATCCCCATCAATTAACGTGCTAGATGGATGCATCGAGAATTTGTGTTTCACCCAAATTTTGGAGGTAGGCCAGCAAGATGACATATGTTCATCCCCCCTGAAGGATGACATGCAAGTTGTCAAGACTGACATGACGTCGAGTTTTTGGAGGGAGCAGAGAGCACAGAGTAGGTGAAGCCTCTCTCTCCGACACAGGATTAGTCTTCTGGCTCCTGAGCTTTTGCTTCTCGATGGCTGTGGTCATTGCCCCTTGGAAGCGAAACGGCATGGGGGCTCGTCGTTTTATTGCAATGTGGAGGACACCTGCGTGGAGCTCCGCTAAGGTTCCTGACACGGGGCCGACAGATGGGGACAATTTGTTTTATATCTTTGTTTGTTTATCATGCTTTTTCAACACATCTCAGACTAAGACAAATGAACTATGTTGTTAATTCTAAAAGCGCTCAGCTTTTGCATAGGAGGCAGGGTATTGATATGTCTAGATTATTTAAGTGAATGCGTCCAACGAGTATGTTGCACTTGTTTGAATGCTGCCAACAGCTACTGTACATGTAGAACTTGATATTGATTCCACTTTGTGTGAGACCCTGAGGGTAAGAAATCAACTGATGCTGAACATGCTGCACAAGTCACAAGTAGAACTGATTGGGGCACACTTAAATCAGGGCTCGCAAGTAGACTCGCTTGCGGAGAAATCTAGTTCCCTGCGACCAACCAGACCAGTGTGGCCTGGAAGATGCACTTTCTGTGCAAACAGCTTCTTCAACTTCCCAACATGGTTCTCAAAAAAACAACCAACCAACCGTCTCCGAAAGCTTCGCTGGTCGCGTCCGGTCGGGCTCGGCCACGTACTTTGCATGGCTGGGCGGCTGCGATGTCTTGGACACGGACCTGGCTTAAGACATGTAAGACACGGACCTAGGCTCCAAATATGTCTTAACCCACGGGCCTGGCTCCTTAGTACCTGGGTTAAGACATGTTAAGACATATTTGGGCTCCAGGGGCAAGATGGTGTATCTGGGAGATATCTGGGAATGCTTGACGGTCAGTAGTCCTGTACACCCCAGATCTATCTTGGGAAAACCAACCGTTTTTGAATCACTGACCGTCTCGACGTGTGAGGAACACTTCAAGTCGGAGAGTGCTTTCTATTGGCCTCAGCTCGAGACGGAGGACACCGCGGATGCCCAGAAGACGTGAGGGGGGGGGCAGTCTCAGACGGGCCCTGGATACCAGGTGAGAATGATGGGAATACAGGAATACACATGGAAACCGCATAGTATGAACAGCTACAGTCTACAAGTTTGCAATGAGACCTTCAAACATTGAGTCATTGATTGGTCTCACATCATTGGCTCACAGAATTTCCCCAAGCTTCAAAGATTTGAGACGGTGAGACCTTCACCATTGATGGGTCAGGGTATCCCCATTTGTTTCTCGGTATATATAATAGATGATAATAGATACAAATATATTATCCCGTGGAGTCAGGTATTGCATATACAAACCAATACAAAGCCCTCCCGAAAGAGAAACATATCTTCAGTCTTGAGATACTTTTTGGGGGTCAGGGTATTCTGTGGTATCTCCGACTCGACGATGAACGGAGAGAAACCACGAGGGGGTGAGATGGGTCAAAGAGATCACAAAACTGCAAAGCAAACCGTTTTAAAAGGGATCAATGGTCGGGATGGAGTAGATGGCTCCACCACATGTAGAAAAGGACGGTGTATATATATATATAGATATACAGTACAGTATATATATATATGCTGTTTTAGCATGCCACGTGTTTAGGTCAATGTGTTTTCCCCTCGCAGTAAAACCACCTCTTCAACTTGCAGTAAAAAGCCTGTGGTTCCAGGCACAAACATGTTGCCCATCGCCACCACTATGGGTTCGTCAAGCTGCTCCTGAATTCACCTAGTACCTGTCAATGGGTGATGGAATGAACTTAAGTATATACAATATATGCCCTGGGACCCTGGGAGTCAGTCCAAGACCATATTTCAATCGATCTTTTGATGATCCAAAGGAAGTTCCTCTACTTCTATGCTGACAAACATAGTCTTTGGACTTCTAGGGTATACAATGCATTTGTATTTTTACATATATTATTACATGGCCCATCTCATCTGAGGACGTGTCGTATTTGAAGGTGCCAAAGAACTCTCGGCTCGAAGCCTATCAGGCATGGAACGCTACGACACTAGAGACAGTTTCTCATGCCGGGATTCCTCTGAACCCCGAGACAAAAGCTGCCGGAGAGAAAAGTTTGGTTTGCATTACATGTTTCCTGTGGATCCACTGCCACCTTCTCAGAAGGTATTTGGACCCTCCAAGCCTAGAGAACAGTGTCTCCAATCACCTTCTCAGAAGGTATGTGGATCCACAGGGATGATTTTGTAGTTTGCAGCTGGAGGACTATACCGACTATACCTCGCTACAGGTGTGTCCAGGGATTTTTAGTATTGTAGGCTTAGGATTCAACCTGCGACAAGGCTCGGTGGGTCTCCTGGTTTTGGATTCAACGCAAGGGTTCAGAGTACACCAAGAGTCACAAGACAGGGTGCTTTTGAGTCCCATCCAGTGTTAGGCACCCCGTCTTGTGACTGCTGGTACCTACCTCTTTTTCTATGACTTGTTGTTTGACTGGACTGGGACTTGTGCATAACACCACTTCCGAACAAATACACTCCAAAATGTGTGAAATGTGGAACCCGCACATGCAATACCGGAAGACGCGCTTCCCATACGAGCCAAATTGGATGAACATACTACTTGTACCTTTCATCACAAAATGTTTGCACCTCCTAACAACGCCGACCACATGATACCACTCTCCATGCCAATATTAGGGATATGACAGTTTGGATAATGACAAGCAAATTGAACTTGGCGCGAAGGATGTCCTCGAAACATGACATTGTCATTGCATCCCCCATGATTGTGGGCTTATAAAATGCAGATCCTTTTCCTTTACAAAATGCAAACTCCAAGACACAGTTTATAAACATTAGGTTTTTTTAAAGGATAACTACATAAGATCTGGAGTATCGTCATTTTATAAACTTTACTAACTTGGACACTGAATGACAGTAATAGAGGGCAGGTGAACCCCGTAATCTCATTTTATAAACATTCACTTGTCGAGTTGTCAGAGGATGGTTAGAACATGATTTATCATTTTATAAAGATCATGTTCTGGACTGTCTAAAAAGGTATTGATTTTTCATATGTTTCTTAAACAAAAATCAGAAATGCCCTCAAAACTTTTCAAAACTGAAGGAAAGACAGGAACTGAAGGAATAACTAAGAATTAAAAATTAACTAGCTACTTTTTCTACACTTTTTCTCCTCTCCCCCTGTCTCTGTGTCTATTTCCTTTACGGGGGAGGTACCGAGAGGCGACCGTCTCCAAACATCGGTCAAAGGCCTGGCTTCGGAAGGACCGTCTGTCTCTAAGGTCGGACCGACGTCCCGCGTTGCCCAGTCTCCCCCCGTCGATCCGAAGCCTCTCGGTACCTCCCCCGTAAAGGAAATAGACACAGAGACAGGGGGAGAGGAGAAAAAGTGTAGAAAAAGTAGCTATATAGTTAATTTTTAATTCTTAGTTATTTTCCTGGTAGTTCCTGTCTTTCCTTCAGTTTTGAAGAGTTTTGAAAAGTGGGTTCAAATTTAGTTGTTGATCATTGAAAATTTAAATGTTCAGAATCTTGAGATCTTGACATGACGAATTTTCATTTTATAAAGTATCCGGATTTCCGATGAGCAATTCGCATTTTATGAAGTGTTTCTTCCTGGATGCCGATTTCTATCTTAACCTATCACAACCTGTGCTGGTCATTTTATAAACTATATAGTTGGTTTTTTATGTTATAAACAAACACCTATCCCACACACTGTATACACCCACAAAGTTTATAAAATGCAAAATCAGCACGCCTATGAACAATCACGGGGGATGTCATTGCTGAACAAGATTTTCAGATCATTAGCATGCAAGTGAAGAACTGAAGTTATTCTGTCATAGCACAGAATAAGATCTGACAAGTTATTCTGTCTTGAAGATCCTATCCTTGTGGTGATTAGCATAGCCTTGTCTTCATAGCCTTGGAACGTTCGGACCACACCTTGGAACGTTCTACATGGATCTTTGCAGCTTTCCAGGTGGCCGGCCGCCTGGTGATCAAAGTGCCAGCACCAGGATTCCAGGTGAGGCGTTGTTAAACAGCCACCAACCGGAGGGTAGCGAGGAACCTACTTGGCCAGGTGGTGTTTGATGGTGTTTGCATGTTTTGTTTTTTTCAGTCGCAGCTTCTTGGGTCCTTGCAGTGTCAGTCAGATCCAAACCTCCGAACAAGAAACGAGAGCGGCCCAGACCCACCTGACTCCCATCCTCCGCGGCTTGGCTTCCGCTGGCATGTGGCTGGCTCTTGGGCACCCCACTTGGTGAGGAGACTCTCCGAACTCAACGCCTTGGGCGGAGATTGGCTGACCTGGTTCCCCAAACTGGCCCCAATATATAGGAGATATGTTTCCACAAAAACATCCATGTCTTCCTATGCTGTTTTGGACCTTTGGCCCACCATTGGAGCTTCAGAAACACCGCCATTGCATGATATTGCATGTGTACCACTCACTGCATGGCCGGATTTCGTCGCGATGGTCGTATTGGTCATGAGGATGTGCTGAGCCTCCGCCAGGCCAGTGTGATTTGTCCCCTGATCTTCTCAGTGCTGTGGCTGAGCTTTGCAGCTCGGCTCGAAGCTCGGATGGCTCGAAGCTCGTCGAGATGTAGCCAGGACTACCCAGGACTACCCTACTTATATATTATGATCCGGACACCCAGACAGGATGCGGTAGGTGTGTGTGTGTGTGTGTGTCACACCCTGGTTCTAAGGGTTTCCACCTGTTTTACCTTTCCACCACCACCGAGACTTTCTATCAAAGGCAGGGAGACACGGCACCAGATTGCAGACCGTGTCTAACAAAGCTATGCAATCTGGTGGGATATCCAGCTTGGCCAGCTGGACGTACCTGCTCGTTCTTCACAAGCTGTAACCCTACTTTTCCACGATTTGATTCATGGTTCTTCATGATACTCCCCATAAACCTTTCCACTTTCTCACGCAGCAGACTTGTACAGAGGCTCGCCACTGCACACCTGTCGAAACATTGTTCAACCATACGGTTTTTTGCGGACTTATGCGCCTTTCCGTTCCCTCACCTTCCTTCCCATCGTGACAACTGAATATAACTGAAAACCCAAGTTCGAAGTGTGGACCGCTCAGTCTTCCCACGTGGGTGCTGGGTGTGACCCTCCGAAAGGAGGTGCTGAAGCCATGCAGGAATTCACAGTTCGCCACTTCCATAACTGACTCCACGGTTTCCATTTTATCCCTGAATTTCCTGATTTTCGAGCCGCCGGGCTATAAACGATGGATTTCCCACCAAAATCTCTGAACTCCTTCGGTATTGCCAAGTCATGATATCAGGTTTGTGCATTTTGCGTTTTCCCAGCTTTCACAAAAGATTTTTAATCCGCAGCCGTTTGATCAGCTTCCACATGCTCCACACCACTCCACAGACCGCAGGAATTGCATTGCATGCCACGAGTTCACCTTACTTCACTGCAGATGCATTCAGGCTCCATACTTCACCATGAGAAAAAGACTCACGGTTTCCACCGCTCGCTCTGTGCGCCGATCACGGCGTGTTGTGTGTGTCACACCCTGGTTCTAAGGGTTTCCACCTGCTTTACCTTTCCACCACCACCGAGACTTTCTATCAAAGGCAGGGGGACACGGCACCAGATTGCAGACCGTGTCTAACAAAGCTATGCAATCTGGTGGGATATCCAGCTTGGCCAGCTGGACGTACCTGCTCGTTCTTCACAAGCTGTAACCCTACTTTTCCACGATTTGATTCATGGTTCTTCATGATACTCCCCATAAACCTTTCCACTTTCTCACGCAGCAGACTTGTACAGAGGCTCGCCACTGCACACCTGTCGAAACATTGTTCAACCATACGGTTTTTGCGGACTTATGCGCCTTTCCGTTCCCTCACCTTCCTTCCCATCGTGACAACTGAATATAACTGAAAACCCAAGTTCGAAGTTCGAAGTGTATTAAGTCCTGTTGCTAAGGACCACTAACTACTTTGAGCATTGTACAGTAGAGTTTTAGCAGGGGGCCACTCCACCCACCAGGGAGTGGCCAACGAAGAGCCTGGTGGTGTGGTGCTGAGAACGTACCTGCTGGGCGCATTTAAGACGCAGCTGGAGGACACCGTTTCACTCATACCTGTTTTTTGAACTCTTGACCAAGCTGTAACTCCAATTTTCCTGTAAAGTGCTAGTGAGTATGTTAAACAAGTCTGTTCTTCAGGCCCTTTCGCCATGCCGTTCCTGCAAGTCAAGGGCTAGGTACTCACTTAAAGGGCTGATGCATCCGGAACTCCAGAACCGGTTCTCCTCTTGCGAGCCTATATCTAAGTGTGATCTGCAGTTCCGTCCCACCGCGGTGCACTGTGGGTGCGTTTAGCTCAGGCCCTCAAGGGAGATACTTCACAGGTTCTTCCGTGTTACTCCATCTTCTCAGATTGGTCGTTTCTGCTCGAGATTGCTGATACTAGGCTGTAGAGCTTACTGCAATCCACCTCAGAGTGACATGTCACGCGGTTAATTGCAACAAAGTTCCAATTTCCATCCAACTCACAAATTTATGCATGGGGTTTCTTTCTCTTCTTCCTAGGTCTTCTCTTCTACTTCTTTGTTCATTTTTTTAGGGTTGTTAGGTTGCAGGTTAAGCTTTTTAGTCAAGGGTGCGCCGGATTCGGCTTTCTGGCTACGTGCTATTCACCCCACTCCACACACACACACACCCTTTTTCTCCTTGCCTTTCGTTTGTTAGGTCCTTTTCTTGAGGCTTGTTAGGTTGCTGCTTAGGCTCGTACGAGGGAATAATAAGTATCATATGATTGTTTCTTCCTAATATTCAACCCATGCCCACTTAATTCTACTTTACTCAGCGAATTTCTTTTATATATTTTTATCATTACAGTATCTTATTTATTCAATTCGGATCCTCGTGCAGATACCAGTTTAATATTGACTCTTTCTAAATTGATGATTTCATGTAAATATCTAAACCAAGTATATGCGAACTTACTTGACAAGAAATTTATCTATTTAGTTCGGGTCTTTGCAAATCCAAGTATCAATTTAGTATTTAGTATGAATATATATATATGTAGTCTATCCAATCAGTTTTAGAACGCATGCAATTCATGACATAAAGCAATATGCGTCCTCATTAAATTTGTTTAGTTTGTTAATTCGGGTATTCACAAATCCAAATAACATTGTTTAATTAAGTAAATAAAATAGATGTGTTACGTTATTTAATCTGTTGGATTTATCTAATTAAATCATTCGACCTTATTAACGATTATCTGTTCAGTTTTTTGTTTTAGTTAGTTCGGGTCTTCGCAAATCGAAGTATGAATTTGTTTAATTCATTTAAGCTGTCTATTTCTCTTCTTGAACCAGTTAAGTAATTTCAATAGTTTTAACAAGTGCTTAATTACTTAAAAGCATAAATGTTAAAAGCCACAATTATAATGGCGCATATACAATTAAATGAAACAATACATGCATTAGATATTAAACTGGTAGTTGGATTTGCGAGTGCCCGAAATATACAGTTTAAAGAAATAGTCATTTTAAAACATATAGTGGCGGATTTTAAGCTATTGAACTGTTGCAATTAACTTCATAGATAAAAGTTATATATATATACTAACTCTATATGTTGATCTGCGAGTACCCGAATTAGAAAAATACATGCATTCATTTGTTTTGCATAGTGTCTTTAATTAGTGATCTAAGTTCTTAAGCTAAATAAGTCAAATATACTAGATATTTAATTGGGGTCCTGGATTTGCGAAGACCCGAGTTGAATACTTAACTTCAATATTTCAAACAAGGATGCAATTACGTACAAATAAGCATCAAACTGATACCTGGTTTTGCCAAGTTCCGAATTTCATAGATTAAAGCAAAACTGAAGAGATTACATAATACAGGATTTGCGAGGACCTGAACTTAATAGATTAAGTTAATTAAAAATTACCTTGCTACCCGGGTTTTTGAAATACAGTAATTAAGTAAAGGAGCTTTGTTTAATACATACATAAATCATAAGTTGTTTTGTTTTCAACACGGGTACATATATAATTTCACCATGTTACAAAGGGTGTAGTTTTATATTTTAGTTCAAGGGTCAATAATCGCATTGTGCTGGTTTCAGGTTCAGATTTTTACAGCTGTGACCTCAACTTAACCAACATCGAGGCAGGCATGCGGTCACCAGGCCCAAAGAGAGCAGGTGGAATAACCCGTGGAAGAACAACCATCAAAAGAGGAGGTTAGGTGATGTTCATGTGGGCAACGGCCCACAAAAGTGAAACCCAGGAAGCGAAAGCCTTAAAAAAGCTTTGTAAAATTGACCTTTGAATCTGTTGTTGCGAAAGTTGCCGGCGTAGCCGTTTTTCGAGCGCTGCATGCAGTGTGCAAGTCGAAGCAAGTGAGAAAGCATAGAGTTTACGAATAGTTGTCATACAACAGACGGTGTTGTTGCGTTCTTGGCGGGATGGCGAGCTTGCTTGGGCAGAAGTTCGAGTTGACGTCAGCAAATGGGACCGTCACCATCATGACAGTCCTAGCTGCGAGGCAAGATCATGCATAGTCGCTGGCAACTGACGCTCAACTTGATCTTGAGTGGCAGCTGGATGGTCCGTCCGTCTTTAAGTTTCTTCATCTTGTGGTGGTGGTGTGAATGTCGGAAGATTTCGGTGCATTATAGAAGTAAGTTTTGTTCATTTGATCGCTTTCCCAAAGAGGGCGCCGATCCAGGCCGGGCTCTATACCCGGCGAGTTCTTCGGGGGTGGCGCCCTACAAGCGCCAGCGTGTCGACCCGGATACAAGATTCAAACCCGACACGAGAAGCGCCAAAACGGCGAGGCACTGCGAGCCTAAGCGGAACCAACGAAAAGTTGCGGCCAACTCGAATTACTTTCTGCTAACAGAAAGCGGTTTTGGTCAGTCTGACTTGGTTCAACTCAGCCACTGCGCGGTCCTGCCACACGCTCATTGAGTCATGAGGCTGCCGCAGTTAGTATGAATGTCAGACTGTCCTTGACTATTCCTTCCCATTGTATTGGTGAGGTACTCTGCAAAATGATTGTATGGATCCCTTAGATGGTGGGTGATCGTTGGCGAGCAAACACACATTTGACCTCTTCGCAAGAAGGCATGACACCTGACTCTGAATTGAGTCTTTTGCCATCATCGCTTTGTAAAGTCAAGTCTGACGCCATTGAAAGTCGGTCCTCTATTTGAGATCTAGGGTCAGGGCATATCAGGTCCATGCCACATGGTTCATCAAGTTACTCAATAAACAACAACGGCAGACTTAAGATGTGAAAACAATTAAACCTGATTATCTCGTTGGTCGTGCACCGTATGGCGCAATGCTAGAAGGTCACGCTCGTCACGATGTCACTGGTGAGCTTGCTCGCCATCATGACATTTTGGTCACTCTTAGTCTTTGTAGAGTCTCAGAATTAAGTAGTTTGCCATAGTGTTTGCTTTGCTTTAAACAAACGACCGCCTTGTCAAAGCTTCGAAGTGGACTGACAGCCGAGCGACAGTGATTCATAAATCCTGGTGTAGAATCATAATAACCATAAAGCTTCGAGCTTTGCACATCCCAGGCTCGTGCTGAATGGGCCTCACGCTGAGATGTGAAATGACTGATGATTTAAGTCTCCCATCGGTGTACCGCAGACAGTCCGCCAATGACAGGGGCGGTGTCAGTCCACCTCACAATGGCCACTTGTAACTGACAGCAACCGGACAGTTGTTCTTTGTCAAACAAGAAAGATCCTTTCAACACCTTTGCAAATTCTTTGAAGTTCTTTGAAGAGAGTTCGATCGCATTATAGCAAATATTCCCGTCACCCCTCCCTTCGCTTTCGTTCCCTCCTGCTTTCGTTCCTATCAGGTTTCTTTCGTCAAGTGCGAAATGCAACCGCCAGATAGTGTGCGCCGGTTACGGCTCATTGTGTGCTAAGTCCTGTTTCTAAGGACCACTAGCTACTTTGAACATTGTACAGTTTCAGGCAGGCGGCCACTCCACCCACCACCCTGGTGGTGTGGTGCTGAGAACGTACCTGCTCTAGTCGCTCCTGGGCAAATTTAAAAGGCAAATTTAAAACGCAGCTGGAGGACACCGTTTTTCGAACCGTTGTGACCAAGCTGTATACTCCAAATTTCTCGTAAAGTGCCAGTGAGTATGTTACACAGTTCTGTTCTTCGGACCCTTTTGCTCTTCCGTTCGTGCAAGTGAAGGGCTAGGTATTCACTTAAAGGGTTTGTGCATCCGGAGCTTCAAAACCGATTCTGCTTTTGCGAGCTTATATCTAAGTGTGCGCGTGTGTTTTTGAATATGATGTCTCTAGTGTCTTTGATGGTAGCATGGGCTCTTCAATTTCCAGGTCTCCTACTGGTCCATCACTGCCTGGAACAGCGGCGTGCGGATGTTTGTGGCTTTCGCGCTGCCCTTTTGGGCGGTCGGCGTGATGCCTCCTGGTGAGACAGAGCCTGTAGCAGGAGGCCAGGACCAGCAGGACCCGTTCATTTGACCTGCAAACTACCCATTGTGAGGAACCTGCAATTGTGTTGGGTGTGATTCTCCTAAAATTGTGGGCCGGAAGGTTGGACTGATCGCTATCATTGCAACTACAAAATTGTAGAGGAGAAACATTTTCGAGCAACCAAGTCTATATTTTGATTGAAATGAAAATGTGTATGTCTCGAAGGTAGCTGAACACGCAAAGACCTGAATGTAGAAAAGGACATATTGATAGATGAAAAATATGAAAACCGTTTAGAGTCACACATACACCTACACCCCAAAAGTACCGAACGTTTTGAAATCTGGAATTTTCACCCCTCACATATGCTGCAGTGTATTATACAATTTGATGGGTCTAAGTTCCGTCCCCGTCCCCTAAGCCAGGAAAGTCATCAAGGGTGTTGGATGTTCTGGTCATCCAAGAGAGCGTTGGACCTCAATGGGCTGACCTAGCACGTATGTTTTTGATCTTAGGCAAAGCACTAAGTATGTGACATGTGCGTTTTCAAAAATTGTGGACACGATTCTGCGCCCCCCCAAAACCTTTTTGTGTATGAAGTTTTCTAGATCTCAGCCCCATTCTTCACCAAGGATTTGCAGTTCTGGCAACACCTCCCACCCTCACCTTTTCAAAATAGACTGCCCCATCCAGCCAACACCATGCTTTCTCGGCGAGGTCCCGCGCGTAATTCCGACAACACGACGTGTTTGCTGTTTCTGAGGCTTTTTCTCAGCACCTTGCTCACACCCAGCCTCTCACAGACGTTGATCGCAGGGCCTTTGGAGTACCAGGCGGAGCTGGACTGATCCTGCGTTTGGTGGAACCGGTTGGCCCAAAAAAACAAGACAGAACGTTTGGCAGTGCTTTGGGCTTTACACCATCCCAAACTCTGATAGAAACAGCAACCAACAACACCAACCACTCCCAAACACTCCATGTATGCCATATCTGTCTACAAGTCTGCCTACATTATCTATACATTGACCCCCCAAACCACCCCAATGTAGGTCAATATACCATATATATATATATATACCAGTCCCATGGTGTGTTTACACATACTATCACCAACCATGTTTCTATTTGGAATCCTCCGCTTCTTCGAGTGCTTCTTTCTGGTACCTCAGTCGCAGGTGCAGTCGCAGGTCTTGCAGCTGGGCATCAGTCGCTTCGCGGCCAAGGTGCGGTCGATCTCGACCGGTGGCGGCCAAGGTGGCGGGAGCGTTTGGACAAGGCCTGGGGGGATCCACGAGGCCTTGGAGATGTAACAGTGTAACATAGGTGTAACATGTATCTTTTTTGTTTGGCTGATTGGGGCGAAAAGGAGCAATGTCCTACTGTGTTGTTTGTTTGTTTTTTTTCTAATCAATGTATGTGTCCATGTTCATACAATGCATGTGAATATTTTGGAGGTGTGGTTCATAGTCTCCATGTTTGGGAAACAAAAACGGTATCAGTGAAACACAAAATAACTGACACGTTTAAGTGCATTTATTACTACAAGGTGTTAACAAATAATAAGTCGAAGTGTTGCTCCACCAACCTTGGTTTTAACAAAAATTCGCCGACTCGCGGCGGATTCTCCAGGTGACGGACCTGGAAGAGGTCCCAGGGCTCTACTGTATGTCCGAGCTGGATTGCAGGCCGTCCGCTGGGGTCGCCGGGGCCGCCAGGGCCGCCAGCAAGTAGAGGCGCTCGAAACAAGTGCATTTTGGATGGTATGCCAATGTATGCCACAAAATTATCGAATTTCACATGACCTGGAATTTCCCAGTTCCTGGAATTCCACTCTACTTTTATGAAGTTTGATATTTATCAATATGATTTTGCGGTGGAACCTGCATGTGGTGATCTCCCTGAGGACTTTTTTGTTTCAATCAGCAGTTTGTTCCATCGAATGGGTTCCCCGAAGGAGGAGGGGCGACAATCGATTGCTGAAAACTGATCAGGGTTACTTTCCCTAAAGTAATCATGAAAGTGGATGGCATGATGGCACCTACCTGTTTGTAAAATATTGGGAACATGGTCATCCAAAGGGGTCAGCTCATCCGCTTCCATGTTAGGCCCGTGTTTGCTTCAGGGCCGTGTATATTTTTCCGGCATCCGCCCTGCGATGGGCACCTGTGGTTTGGAACGACCTGTGGGCACCTGTGGATGTCGAACAAGACTGACACATGACCACCAGAGTGGGCACGTACTTTCGTGTGAAGCTCTCTGGAAGGTTCCAAGCTAGTGACCAGTCCTTCCTGTTTGCAAAGGACGGGTGACATGAATGCGGTTTCCAAATTCAGTTGATTGCACCAAAACACACGATATAGCAAGGGTCTACCGATATAGGACGACTCAAGACACACGCACTCGTAGCTGTTTCTATGGTGACTGTGTTGACCCACACCATGTGTGTGGCGTTGAAGCACGCAGTTAGTGTCGGCTTCCTTGTTCAATTAGGTTGGTGAACTGTCGGTAGGACCAAAGAGGCCAAAGACAGAACTCAATCGATCTGGGTGAACGGTCGGTAAGACCATGTGGAAGTCACCAAGCTACCCAGCGGAAAGATAGACTCCGGACTCGCCCGTGGGTTCGACATAAGCCACACTTATGTCGCCCATGTGATCTTATGTATAAATGTACATATATATATATTTATATGGTACCCCCAAGACCTACCTTTTTGCACTTTTCAGTTGTATTCATATATATATATACGGGGGTCTATATTAGCATTATTGTTATATATATATATGTGTATATACAATATACAGCATACAGGGATGTTTATTCATATACAATATATATATATATATACATCGCTACTAATTATTTCAGTCTCATATTTTCTCTCCGATGCCGTCCATTTCTGGTGCCTCAGGAACGATGTGTAAGAGCCTAGACACATCAGTTAACATGAAGTTCTGCCACGGGAATGTGTCCACTGTTTTCTATATATGCCGTACATATATTCTCCATTTTGCTGGGTGAGCACTCACCCGTTGGAAGATCCCAACAAGGATGGATGCCTAGACCCTGCCCATTGCATTCCAGGCTGATCCTGCAGGATGGCGTGCAAGAAGTGGCATGGCGGCCATTCAGCAGCTTTCTGTGCTGGTTTTTCACCATGTTCCTCCATCCAGCCTCTCCCCCTGTACTTCGAAGTGATGGGCTCCATGGACTGCGCTCGATTCCTGGGGCCCGGCCTGGACGTCGACCTCGGTCGCGGCCGGTAGCGGCCTCTGCCTAGGTGGTCTTTGGGTCGGATCTGAAGCCGGTGGAAGTGCGATGGATCCAGAAGCAGTTGTGTTCCCACTGGGGACTCGACGTCTCCTCATGCCTGGCGCGTTCGGCGTTCCACTCTGAGGAAGGAGGATAAAGATTGGCGAGGAGGCCCGGTGTCGCCCCTCACAGTCCAAGGGGTATTGAAATTTGCTATATATATATATATAGATGCAAACATAAGACAGTCCCTTGAAAGATCTTGAAAAACACCTGCTGGGGGGGGAGTGGAAGCTATTCTTGTGCTCAAAAGCAGCCATGCAGGGACAGGATTTAGCCATTGGTGTTCGGCCAAGTAGTACCTCTTACTTCTCGGAGTGAGCGACCCCGACCGCGTGTGTGGCCAAGAAAAGGTGTGCAGGTACTGGATGTCCATCGACAAAAACGTCAGTGCTAAAACATGATTCCATCGATTGGACGGGGAAGACCAAACTTCCTTCAACAGTATCAGAGTGTGCCAAAGCATCTCCTGCGCAGGCATGTGTACAGGACACCAATCAATTTCGAGCTATATACTGTAATTACACAGACAGGTGTCCTTCTCTAAGAGGAAACAAGGTTCTCAGACTTAGATCTTGGATCTTATGGCTATTTATCTACAGTAATTGGGAAGGATCTCCCACATGATGTCAGACTGTCAGATCTTCCAAGAAGTGGGACAAGAAAGATCAGAAAGACACCACTTTCCAAACTGCTCATGACATAGAAATCAACACCTGCCACCCACTGGTACTCATCACTGCTGCCACGCTTTCCGCTTTCGTCGAGGTCCTTCTCTGCAGACTTTTCCTCAGCACCGGAGTGGGGCTCGCAACGCTTGGCGGCTGCCCGGCCCATTGTTGGTTGCCTGTTGTGGTGTGACGTTCATATGACATGGCGTTGACATACCTTAGCTAATCCATGATAATATACCGATATCCATTGTATATCGTCATAACTCATCATATGAATCTCATATATTGTACATGTGTGGTAGAAATCGCTAATGATTCTTGTGGCAAACTTCACAGACCATCAAACATACCTCGTTGCTGGGGCGATCTTTCGCTTATTGGAGTGGATCTTCTTCCAGTTGTTCCCACCTTTCATTCGGCTGAGTCGGGTCCGGGCGCCGACAAACGCACGATGCTTCAACCAATCAAGGTCTTGGAGCATCTGGAACCCTCCATGAAGGCGTCGTTTGCGAAGCGAAGTTCGCCCCTGTTCGCGTTGGAGAAGAGGGGAAGCACTGGAGGTCACCTGCCGGGTCAGGGGGTAGCTGCAAGGAGTGCTTTTCAGGGGTCATGTGAAACGGGGGCGATCTGGAAAGCCAATCCAGTCAGGTGTTTGGAACGCAGCTGGGATTGAAGAAGGCCGTCTTGTAGGCTCTTTTTGGCCATCGGTTCGACCAAAAAAGAAAAGGTTTACCTGGTTCAATGGTTTGTCGGTAAACACCATTAAATCAGTGGTGGTTGAAGAGTGGAGTGAAACAGATGGACATCGAAAAATGTTATGTTCGTTTGCTTCAACCTGGTTTTGCAGGGACCACCATCAGGCTCAGGCTAAACCGGCTAGATCGCACACCGCAAGATCCGCAAGATCGCGGGTTGACCAGCGATGAAACATATCAACCTTACCCAGACACTCCATGTATGCCATATATGCCTACTTTGGTGGTTTGCGGGGTCAATGTAGGTATATATGGCATACATGGAGTGTCTGGGAACCTTCTATTGGAGATGTAGACGTTGTAAATATCGAGACAGCCCCCTCACACTCAGATTCCCAACCATTGCTTGTCGAGTAGACCGCCATCACTAGGTTCGCTTGGAGATCTTGGATGTGGCTGTTCCCCTGTCCAAGGCCATGTCATGCTGCCGGCAAAAAGAGGGGAGGGGAAGCAAGCAGGAAGGTTTCGGGAGGGAATCCGAGGTTTCAGGGTGTGTAGCAGCAGAAAAAACATGTTTTGATAATTCATTGATTGTCCCATTTTGTCCCTATTCTTGGATGGGTCACCAAAAAGTATAGAACAAACAGTGGATAAGCACGGGCAATGATGCACAGGAAGCACCGTCCAAGTAAGACGTTCATGGCATGTCGTGCTATTATAGGTTGGATTCAGCAAACAAATCCATCACCCCACAAGTCCAAACATTCTCTGGACAGAGTCATTTGGGTGTGGCCTGTCCCTGCAAAGAAAGGGGTCTGGCAGTCTGGCATGGCTCATCTCCTGCAGTTCTATCCACCCAACCGCTGCTTCAAACGCAATGGCTGAAGTTCCACGGGCTATCCGCTGTGAAGTCAGGGCTATCCGCTGTCCCTGAACGTTCAAGCCAAGTCGGTGGACGCCATGGAGGCCGTTGGGGAGGAGAGCAGGTGTAATTCAACTTTGCTGAGATCCAGTTCCATACCAGATCATTGAAAGGGGTGGTGAATGGACGCCACTGGACCTTCCTTCACCCCTCGGGGGGCCCTGCTATTTGTTTAAAGTTGTAATTACTGCACCGTGAAATGTAATCATAGAAGCGGAACATAGTGAGTCAGAGTGTAAATGTTGTGAGTGCACCGCCAAGCCCCTTGGGCAGATCCCTGGTCTCTGGACACTTTGAAGTTGAGGTGCTGGACTCCAGCGGTTCTCAAGCGGTTCTGTGATTTTCTTGATGTTTATCGACGTATACACTGACTAATCATATATATTATATATTATATATATATATATTATATACGTCCTTTCGGACCCATTGGAACTTTGAAATCAATCTTCCGAATGCCAAGTGGATTATTTCAAGTCTCAGATTGTTGGTGTTTGTGAACATTTGCAAGCTGGGAAACACTCATTGTCCATGTGTTTGGCGCAGAAGCCTGCTGCAGTGGGCCAAACCCCTGACACTCCGGACTGGCAATGACTGGCCTTTTGACCTACATCGGGGTCGTTTCAGAGGTGGAAGTGGGTCAACATACCGGTCGTCCAAGCTGTCCCACCAGGTATTTGAGAACCAAGATCATCCCTTAACTCCCCTGTCGGTTCATGCCCTGATGCTCCCTCCAGGTTGCATGCAAGGAAGCCACCGCTGTGCGATCCTCCATGGCCGGAACCGCCTGGGGCGGCATGCGGCGTCTTCCTTTTTTTGGGGGGGTGTTCCAAGTTGATCAAAGCTGGGCAAAGGAGATGCTGATGGTGTTTACAGCGGTTTATATATTGATAATTGATATTTGATCTAAAAGTTAGTATATACAGTACATTTAATTATACAACCAATTATGTGATATATGGATGTGATAGGTTTGTGATATGCTAGGAAAATCTAGAGATTTCTTTTTGCTTGATTCCTTGTGGAAGACCCATTGAGTCAGGTTGCCGGGTCATCGCTCCTTTGTTCGTCCGGGGCCGGGCCATAGGGTGGAGTAGATCGGGTTATTCAGCCACAACCAGAAGGTGTTTGCTTTAAGATGTTTTTCCACAACCAAACCCAGAGCCTGTGAAAAACATCTCTTGCTTGGCTGAGGTTAGACATTAAGCATGGAGAAGCAAGCAGCTTTTGTCTCCCTGTTCTAATACCCAGACAAACTGACTCTCCAGCTATATAACGGAGATCGGAGCTCGGACGCCAGGACAGCTCAGTCCATGCGCCGCCAAGGTGAAGCGCATCGAGTGGCGGGTGGGGCGCATCTCGGAGCATGTGAACGCTGTGTCCGGGCCCCGGCGGAGAGAGGCGGAGAACGAGAGGCCTGAACACCATGTTGTAGCTGTTTCTTTAAGGTAATTACTATATAGAACATCAAAACACTGAGTGCATTGAACAGAAACACGTGCTTCTGCTTTGCCTCGTGCAAAGTCACATCATGATAACTTGGTTACAAGTCAAACCCACTGTAGACCAGGGGTCATGTGCCAAATGGGTAGAAAAAGTCTAGTCTAGTAGGGACTGGGGGGTTGACCCACCTCTCTTTCCCAAAGTAGACCAAACAGGGGCATGGCTTGACCAGGGGCGCACGACAATGACCTCCAAAGGTGGGAAGATCAGTGAGAACCTCTTGGCGAAGGGATTCTGAGACTCTTGATGAAAGAGATGTTGCACCACGTTTGGTGCACTCCCCTAATAAAGCTCTCAAAAACATGTAATTATTACTTTCTAAATACCATGTCATAGCTTAGCCCTTATCTATGCCAGATGGTACGAGATTTTGTCCATGGACAGAGCTCTAAAAGAATATTGAATGATATGATATGATCATTTGTCCAGTTGCACCCCAAACGCATGGATTGTGACAGGCGCGCAGCGGCCAATTCCATGGGAGAAGAGGAGGCGATGTTTCCTTCGTGGGACCCGCGTGGGAGAAGGTGGAGATGTGTTTTGCGAACCAAGTGTTCTGCCACAACCGGTGACATTCGGACGTTCCACTATACGTTCGGACCCCGCGAACAATCCCTAAACTTCGTCATTTCTGGACACGGACCTTGGAAAGGAGTTCGGGTTCACATTTGTTGGAGGATGCTGGAGGTTCCTGCCTCATCAGGGTCAGACATGGGATACCTTGTAGGATAAGACTTCGACCCCTGAATTCCTTTGTTCCAGCCAAAGTCATTCGGCCTGGTCGAAATCAGTGGATGTGAGGTCGAAGCGTTCACATGCTTTTGCGGGGCTCACGAAGACGAGGGCTCATGAGTCATGAGATCAGATGCAAAATTCATGCACATGTTGGTCGGGGCTTGGATGCCCACAGGTTGCGGTTCGAGCAAGAATCTAGCAACAATGTTTGCTGTTAGTTCCAGCTTCACCGTGCAAACAGACCGGAAGGGACATTTTATGCATTTTGGGCAAGACCGTGATTTTAGGGCGTTTGATAGCCCAAAGGCATGATTGCTACACTGCAGACTCACCCGGTTTTCCTGAACAGCACTGGTCTTGTAGAGGAAATCCAGAAAACAAGTTTCTAGCAGCCACTTCCAACTTTGAGAGATTAACTTGGACTTTAGGGGCTTGTACCGGCATTGCGCTCCCTCTGTGGATGCCGCTGTTGGCTGGGTGTTTGAACAACTCGTCACATGCAGTCACAGAGTGACAGTGATTGGAACCACTGAGCGAAGCCAACGACTTGACTTGCTCAAGTGGGCTAGTGCCAGCGAGCAAGCAGCAGAAGAATTGAAATACTGTAAGTATATACGAATCAGCTCAAACGCAGATCAAGGAGGGACAGCCTTGGGATGAGCTTTTCTGCAGCACTACGCTACGCATAATGCTGCGGTTTTGCTGGTCCTAAGACTCAGGTGTGGAGATCATTGTAGAGAATCAAGTGCCGGATGACACAAGTTGGACGCTGAAATTCCTGAAGAGACTGGTGTGACTGTTGTCTTTAGACCAAACCTGGTGATATGCTCCAATCAAGCTGCGTTCGCAGGTATTGTTTTGCTATCATTCACTCGGATGTATTGTTTGTGGTCGAATCCCAAGTAATGAAACTCAAGTTCTTGATAAGGCCTTTGCAATTTGCCACAAATTGGCCCAGTTGACCATCCCCGACTCAGTGCATTGGCATGCTCCCCAATGCGCATCACTGAGTCGGGGATGTTCTCTTTGGTGAACTTGATCATCCCAGATTTGGTGACCGGCCTAGTGGCCTTTGCCTTCCAGAATTGCACCTCTTTGGCAAGCTTGAACATCCCAGGCTCAGTCACAGACATTGGGTGTGGTTCCTTTGACAAATGCAGCTCTTTGGCAAACTTGAACATCCCGGATTCAGTGACCCACAATGGGGCCTGTGCCTTCGGATTGCATTTTTTGTTGGCAAGCTTGACCACCCAGACTGGGTGACAGTCCCATTGGGATGTATGCCCTTTGATGAACTTGACCATCCCGAACTTTGTGACCCACATTGGGCACGGTGCTTCTGATTCCACATGTAATGTTTTTTCCAGCTTCTCGAAAGGGCAAGGGGCCAAGGTTCCTACGGACAAGGTTCATGTCGGACATGGGTGCAAACAACGTTGGCGAAAGTGTATGACACTGGCATGCATAGTAGTAATGGCCTCCAACCTATTAAATATTACAGTAGCTTCTAGCTACTAGTAGCTTCTTGTTACTAGACCAGAGCACGGCACCCTACAGTCTACACCTTGTTCTGCTGGGACCATCAGGTCCCGAATCGCGACTATAGTCGCATCATCATCCGCTAGAACAATGGTGGTCATGTCTTTCCAGGTTTACATAGACTGATGAAGTCCAAAAGCACTACTACCTGGGCATTTGATCAGCGTTTTTTTTTGGGGGGGGAGTTTTATATAAGTTTGCTTGAAACTTTTGCCTGTCAAGTGCAATGCCACGCATGGTTTGCAGGTTGCTCAGGTTTTCAGAGGGGTCTATCAATGGCCCCTTAGAGGCGATTCGGGGTGTCCCAAAACCACGGGGCTTGGAAGGTGCTCTGACTGAATGCCTCAGGGCTGGCAGCCAATCGTCTCCCCGCCCTTCGCAGCCGGTGGCTTCGAAAACCTTCAGCGCGGGTCTCCGGCTAAGGACATCACGCAGAAACATGCAGAAACACCTTACCCTCAGGTAGGATTGACTTGTATCCTGAATCTATGACCTGTGGAAGACAATTTTGCTCCACAAACCAGTGGTTTTGCGGGTGCGGGTCAATGAAAGATTGCAACATGATTGCAACGGTGTGAATCACACACAAAGCTGTTGATGAAGTTCTTCTGAGATGTCAATCAAATACCCGAGCCACTACACAATGCTGTGTTGTGTCCATCAAAGCTACCGGGTGATGCACACATTCACAGCATTCGATCCTACATGGACCCCGGCTTCACCCTGCGTGAGGCAAGATCCAGGTGTGTATACAGCGGGTCACCTCACCGGATGCACTGTGACCCAAAAGAATGGCACTTCACCAAGGGTGTGCTTTTACTTCTCCCATTATGTGTTTCATAGTGTTTGTCTTCACCACTCCAAACGATCCACTCAACAAGCCTTTAACCCTTTTGCGGACATCAACAATTCACCCGACTGAAGGTTTTTACATACATTTTCATTTTTTCCAGTGGAGAAAAACGACACCGCTGGTGGACGTTTGATGTCGCTAGGTCGTTGGATGTCTTGTGTATCCAAGGATAGTGAGAGTACTCCCCTGCAGAGGGCCACATGCATGGAACCACACAAAGCACTGGGTTGTATATAGAGGAAAATGGGTCGAAAGCACCGGTCAATTCTCAGGTTCCATATCGTTTAGGATGGTGAGAGTATTAAAAACCTTTTGTCTGACCATCCGCCAGCACTCTCCAAGGCTCCACTTATATCCCTTGGGCTATCGAGTGAAGGGCGAGGACGGGAAGCCAGCCGTCGGCACGTGTTCTCTTATGCTCGGGCGCAGCTCGCCTGCGCCGATCCTCGAGGCAGGGGGATGCTGAACAACTGCGTGGTTAATTTATATAGTTTATTTATGTTTATTTTAGTTCCAAATGTGTCAGGTGAGGGTCTTTTAGATTCGAAAGGTGCCACCCCCCCCCCGACCCCGACCTCCTTCGTCACAGCGAGTGCCTGGACCCTCAGCTCAGTCTGGACTCTCACGGATCACCGTTGGCCTGAGCTGCCTGGGTTGACGTCAACCTACCCCGGTTTTTGCGGATCTGGATTTTGACCCCACAGATAGCGATTTGCCTTAAGATGTCTTAAGATTCTTAAGCAGTGCAATTATATATTACTATAGACTTCCCCCGCTGGCCCAATAAGGACATGGTCCTTTCATGTCCTTCCTTGCACCAGGGGGTCGAACCTTAGGGGAGGCTTTCCAAGTTCTTTCATCCAATTTGAGGAGGAAGGGATCCTATTCATTGTTCCAATGTTGCTCTAGGTCTGTGTTTTCTATGCGAATTCCCCCGGTTCTCGCTTTCCTCGCGAGGATTCCTGCGGCTTCTTTCTGGTTTGTCCCAAAGGCAGTTCTTTTTCGTTCGGCGAGCGACGTCGCGGCCGAGATGTCGCGGAGTGAAGAGACGGACGACCGGTCGACCGGTCAACCAGCGAGGCGGACTCAGTGAAGGAGTGAAGGTTTCGAAGTGGCTGAGATGTTGACCCTTAAAACACCTATACCAGCACCATCCAATGGGTGTCTCATGGACTACCCTACACTACTTAGAGATGTCCATTCCAGGTATGTTTCATTTGAATTAAAACACACACTCCCTTGCGGTTTGATTACCGCGTCCACGGCACGGTCGGCGGTCCTCATTTGAATTATCAAACAAAAACTGAAGTGACATGAACACATACTGTCCTAAAGCAAGCACTGCCTCCTACTCAAGTCTTCAAGTTGGTAACAGGCATTGTTCGTTGTTACTACAAAGGCCGCTAGGTCGTCCTTTTCGCTGCCAAAGAAAAGCACAGAAGGACTCTTGCAAACGAAACTGACTCTTTTGCAGGTATGTATGTGAAGTGCAAGGCCTTTGTGGGGGATATGGCCCCTTTGCAGAGTGAAGCTGGATGCAAGGTGATGGCAGAGCTGGAGTGGTTTCAGGAGGACATGCCACAATGAATCCACGCACAGTCCTCCCGGAATCTGGGCACTGGACTGGCGATGTGATCAGACCTACCAAAACTTAGACTTAGATTTGGCAGGTCATATCAACTTAGATAAACTTAGACGAATCCCTAGGCCCTACAACTTCGATCAACCCACCCAAACGCTCATGGACCCTCATATTGGACGGGTGGGTTTGGGGTCGAACTCCCTATAGTCTTGGAGGGACTGGGTCGGGCTGTGAACGGAGCGTTTGGGTCGTGCTATTTTGAGGAACCCCTTAGATCGGTCCATCCGTCGGTGGGTGATGACGCGGAGGTCAACCCGAGAAATCGGAGGACCTGCAGAAATGCGAGGACCTGAAAATCCATGGTGGCGAACTCCACCTTGATTTCAGGGGGATGTTCCATCTCTCTCCATTTGGAGTGCCAGTCCCACCAAGAAGCGATGGCTGTCCCAATGAGGGCGGGCAGGTCCAAAGTTTGAGGAGAGCCGGTCACTTACACAATTGCAAGAATGAGTTGCTTGGGTTTCCTACCAGGCCGTAATAAGAGATGTGTTCTCTTGCAGTTGTGTTTATTTTTGGAGGCTGGGGGTTGTGCATTTTTAGCGATCCTTGGAGCATCATCAATCCAAGGTTCTTGTTGACAGTGGTTTTATATGATTCTACATTGGATGCTTTGTTTAAAAATCCTTATGCACTTATATAAGAATTGTTCAAGAACTGTTGGGAACTGATGACCCAGGCATTTGCCCCCAGAAGATTCCTAGTTGTTTAAAGAAGATCTCCTGTGAATAGGAATACTCCTGATCTGGAAGTCCAGGTCCTCAAGGACATGACATGGATCATATTCACTCTCTGTCAAATAATCATGGACGTAGATGGCACCACCTGTTTGGTCTTCCGAAATTGGTCCTCCAAGGCCCATGCCATCCACATCATGATTCTTCATCAGGGAGTGTCGGGTCTTCCATGGTCCTCCGCGTCCGAAGCCAACCGAAAACGCAGAGACCGTCCGCGCGGAGACCTCACCGGAGACCCTCCCAGGTGCGCGTTTGGGATCACTACTATGAGGAGAGGGAGCCCTACGGCGCCTCGGATGACCTTGCGGGGGGCGGCCGGAAACCGCCGCCGTTCGCTGCCAAGCCCGGCTCGGGGCCGCCAAGCGGTTGGGAGAATTGACTGGTAAGTTATTCATTTGGACATCTATGTTGATCTCTATCCATGCAACTGGTGGGTATGTTAATGTGTTGATGCTTAACATGCCATGACAGCAAGATATCCACCACGTATTTTGCTTTGACCTTGCTTGTTTCAAGCGTGCTGCCGTGTTGCTTGCTTCACGACTTTGTCCAAACCCCTGCTTCTCAGGGTGCAGTGGTCGAGTCTAACCAGGACATACCAGGACACCATTCAAGGACAGATCAACCAGATTGAAGCCTTTGGAAATTGTGACATGGAGAAGGCCGCTTTGTGGTTTGCCTAGTCCCTTGGACTTTAGGGTGAAACATGGTGAAACGATTTGGTGAGACAGTGACAGGATCACGGTGGATCACCATCTCGTTGGCCTTTGCCTTAGGCCGTGGCAACTTCTGTCGGCTTCTGGACAAGGCAGGACTGGCAAAGTAAGAGGGTGGGGCGCCATTTGGCACCAAAAGCTCTATGGTGGAGGGACGTCGTGGAAAATCTAGTAGCAGTTTCTTAAAAGTTACCTTTTGGATCCTTTTTGAGATCTTGTGAGGGTTTGTATGTTTTCTTTTCAGGGTTCACTCACGACTGCAAACAGAGGCTGCAGATAGGGCTTGGAAGAAGCTAAGAGGGACACCTGGTTCTCCCTCCTCTACCCATGCACAAGGTAGAAATGGTTCCCAGCCCAACACAGTTTCTACATAATTCTACTAATGTTTCATCCTTTTATTCTTTTCCGGAGCCCTATTTTGTCACCCGCCCAGGGCGGCCCTCCAAACCCTTGTCCTAGCAGGTGGAGAACGACGACAGCATCTTGTGCGGCATTGAGTTGCAGGAGATCCGCCTCGAGCAGCAAACTCAGGCCTTGGAGTCGTCACCATGAGAGCTTGGAGAGCTTAGGAGAGCTAAAGGCTCTGATGGCATCTCGGGGTGGGGCAGATGGGACGGATGGTTTGGTTTCTCTTGTTTTTTTGTGTGAAGAAGTGCCTCCTGCGGAGCGTACTTTTTTTGTTTGGGGGTTAATCCTGACCAATTAGTTTTGTCAGGAAGTTTCGCTTGGCGGGGCATGTCCAATGCCAAAGGCCTTTTCTAGAAAGTTCCTTTTGGCTGCGTTGTTTGCTTGAGCATAGATCGGACAGATATACAGTATCTGGTAAAACAATTCCTCCTGCCTTTTGTCTAAGTCATTGTTGGATGAAGGATGGAAATTGGGTTTGTTATGTTTGGAGCGTATCAAGGCTGTAGCATTTATTAGCAGCTTGTGGTTCATGCAATGCCCTGTACACCACCTGAGATAGAGGATATTTTACTATTAATTGTTTTCAGCGATTTTGTGTTTCCTGGTTTCCCGTAATTACACTGTTAGTTCTTGCTTGATGTTATCAGAATTTTAAGTTGCTGCCATTCCCATTCATCTATGGAGGTTAAGCGGTTCACATGTCGCAAACTTGGACGAACTTAATGTGCAGGTCCGCGGTGGGCCTTTTGGAAGCGTCGTTGACGAAGTGAGCCTTGCCTGCATGCGCTTGGAAGGCCAACCAGATTTGATAAGTAACCTGAGTAGAACAGAACCATCTTCCAGTGTTTGCTTCACGTTTCCACATCTCTTGCAATAGGGAATTCATATGGAATTATTGTATTTATTATTTGATCCAAATTGGAGATCAGGAGATCCCGTGAGGTCCCATGGGGGGTGTAGACCAGTGGCAGTGACCATCTCCATTCAGATCTGACCGGTCTACACCCGGTCAGAGCGAGCGCCGTGGGCAACGGGTGGGGGGGGTGCCGGGCCAAAAAGTCTTGTATCTAATCCATGCACGCGACACCTCAAAGCTATTTGAACATGATACACCTGAACATTCAACACAAGATTCTTCCTTCTTGGGTGTTTGTCCCCATATTTTCCGGCTCTCAGTCGTCCTGAGGAGGACCAGTTTTGGACGGTTCTTTTTCGCTCAGGAAGTTGATCGCTCAACCTTCCACCGGAGGCGCAGTGCTGAAGCCGTCGCGACCGTTTTGGGGGTCGCACTGATGCACTGAAGACACTTTATGGGCAGCCAGTGTGTGGACTTTTGGGCTGCTTTAGCATGCTTTTGCTTTCTATTTGCAAGAATGGTGTATAGTTCTCTTTGCAGGAATATGTGATGTTCTGCTTGCAAACGATGCAATATAATATCTACATATATAAAGGCAAGGCCGTGGGTTTTGCTCCATCTCAGATTTCTTACCCGCAGCCCCCAGCTTGAATCCGACAGTAGGCTGATTCTTTCTCGTCGAAGCAGAGTTCTCCGACCATAGATGGTCCAGCTCTGGGCATTCGAGCTACTCACGTGAGGTTCATCGATCGGTTAAGTGCCTTTGATGGGGAGCACGGACGTTGGTCTGCAGTAAACCACTGAACGACTCAGTTGCATGATTCTGAGGCATAAATGGGTCATAATGGGTCGACCCGGACACATCAACCATCAACACCTGGGGCAGAACGCAGAAAGCTGTTTCTGTTTGGATCTGTGACGGTGCTTTTCGGGTGGCTTCATGTTCTTGCCCCAATCTAAAAAAGGCTTGTTCAGCCCCTCAGAGAAATGGCTTTTGACCAAACACCGAGACCCCTACCTTGGGCACCTTTGGAAGGATTTTTGTCCACCGGAAACTCCGGAATGCGCTGGTCCATCGGCAGAAAACCGACGTTTCGAGGCATGGAGATGGTCCGGGAGCTTCGTGATCACAGCTTGAAGGCGTGGCCGGCAGCAACGGGGGCCGGTGGACAGCGGGGGGGATGGAGGCTTGGAGAGCGGTGTCACTAGGTACAGAGCAGGGTTTGTGTGGGTTCATTGAGCCAATAGTGTGATTCTGATGTATTCTTCCGTGGCTTGTGATAGTCGATGAGGGGTAACAATTCAATAAACCGTGACCTTTCTTTATCAACTGACTGACTGACCTGTGTAATTATATATGTGTGTTTTTTCATGTTTTTCATATTGTTTCATTATTTTTTTGTTTTTTTTTAATATGACCACCAGGCAAGGCCTTTTCAGGGATCAAGATGCAGGTCATGCACATGCCACAGTTAGAGTTTAGTTGAAAGAGGTGCACTGTGAGGCACTGTGAGGGTTGCACTGTGAGGGGTCACACCTCCACAGAAAAAGAGTGCTTCTTTTTCTTGAATGTTTTGAAGTTTTTGTCTTTTCTGGATAATGAGATAAGGACTCCTCGATAGTGAAAGATCGGGGAGCCGGACCATATGGTTGAAGGATTCTAGCAATAGCCTTTCATTAGAAGTAACATGTCTTGAACATCGTGATGGTTCTCTTGGGCTGTTCGAGCTGCAAACTCATCAGACTGGGCCAGTCGCGTCGCCATCCGCCGTTCTGCGCGCGAATCTTCCGCGAAGGCCAAACGCAAAGTTCACAGCTACTTGGCACGGAGATACCTGCAGCTGAAAGAATGCGGGCAAGGATACCTTGGGTTTGCGCCAGTCGGGGAAAAAAGACTTGGTGGTCTGAGGCGGCATGAAAAGGTATCAAAATGTATCCCAAACATGTGGTCTCCCGAACTTGCATATACCTGGTGCGCTTTCGATAGTGGTGATGATGAGGATGATGAGTATTTGAAGACCATCCAACAAGCATTTCAACCAAAACCCATCATAGAGAGATCATGTCCATGAATGTTCGTGCTGTGTTTCGACGTGTTTTGGATCCACACCGGTCCAGCGTTTGAGGTCGATCAGCCATGCAGCAATATGCGCATTTGGCGCCTGCCATCGATGAGAGGTGGGCGTGGTCGGTCCTTCCACGCGCGGATACGGGCACGTGCGGCGCGCCAGCGCGTTCAGCCGTGAGAGGTGAATCGGGTGAGGTATACCAGGACCTCCTGGACCAGGGGCTTCTATTGATAGTCCCTTATTAGAGGTTATATAAGGGGTGTCCATGAATCACCCAATTCCCGTGGGTCCTGGTCCTGGTATAGATGGTTGTTTAATAAACCCCCCTGCAGATGAGAAGGCTTTGCAATCCATGTCTGGGGGTGTATTTCTCAACAGTCTACAATTAGATATAGCTACCTATGGTGCCAAGGTGAACCATGCTGTGGATCCCGCCATGGTGAGCTTGGTGGCATCAAAAATGAAGGAGCATGCATGTGTATTTCTTTGGTTTCCCAAGCTCGCAACTGCCTGGAGTCAATGCCGTTGGGGTCAGGATGATGGCGGAGTCAATGCTGTTGGATTGATCGGCCGCCTCGGGGAGTCACGGCTCTCCAGCCAGCCGTCATGGAGACGGCCCCCAGGGATTCCAAGGACTTTAGGAGCTGAGAAGACCTGACTGGCCTCCTGAAGAAAACAAATGCCTTAGTTCATGAAAGACGGTTGCTTTCGGGTCGTGACACCAAGGGAACTAAGCAGCTAGCAGCTAGCAGCGGAAAGATCAACATACTCTTGGATGACTTGAGATCTCACACTTCCAGTATCTTCCAGTCCAAGGTTTAGACATGTCTAGACAAGTTTCGATGTTCTAAGAGACTAAAAGCCATACATGCTGCAACCATTTGCACCCTGTTAAAGTTGAACATATTAGAGTTGTTTGTTTTGGGGCAAGGTGGGTTCATCAGAAAATTGGCTATACAAGTCATATGCCCATGTTCTGGATATTATAGAGGGTGGGGACATCGTGTTTCTCCAATCTCCAGATCCATATCCCCTACAGTAACCATTTCCAAGAACTAGGACAGCCGGATGATCGACTTGCAAATGTATTGACATCACTATGAGCATCAAGATGTTGGATCTGGTCAAGACACCTGTCAACATATTTGATGACTAATACATACGATATAGTAATACGTCTCGCCACACTTGGTCATGCTTGTGAACAGTACAGAGACCAGAGACAGGCTTCTCAAATCCAACCCCCCCTGTTTCACATCCAACCTTTCATCCCGTAGCTTTTTTCCATTGCTTGACAGTGCAGACGTCCATTCTTGTTATTGCCTGCTATCCTGGTACAGGCCGGGAGCACCAGAGCGAATCCCGGTGCCTCTACCAGGCGGAAACAGCCTGTTGGATGGTTGGATGGTTGTTTGGGTCCTGCAAATGGTGTGTGTGTGTGTGTCTGTGTTCGGAGAGGGAGTTCTGACCCTCCCTTGGTTGAAGGGTCATCAACATTTTGGATACACAAGACAGAAACAGCACGATTGGTGATGACATCTTTGGAGTTGATAGGCCCTAAGTCATCCACCACATGAATTCCAAAGGTTTCCAAAGATAAAATGTTGGACCCCCTTAGCCTCTGAGTAATGTCGACACAGGATTCAGTCACCACCCCCCCCGATGAATGAATCCAGCTCGCGGCCCGGTCTTGTCGTCCGGTCGTCCGGTGGTCCCTCCGCTCGGAATCGGATGCGTTGGGTAGGACGGGGGGGGACAGTGCGGTGCTGGGGTTGAAAGGAAGAGATGTATTGCAGTAGGACACTGTGTCGACTGATGGGTTCAGTCAACCAGCCCATACTAAACCCACTAATAAGGTGTTGCGTACACCACAGCAGGTGTATGGAAGAGGTATGGAAGTGGCATGTTCGTTGTTTCGGAGGTGTTCAACAGATGGAACGTTTGAGGTTGGAGGAGGACATATCCTTCTACAATTGAAGGGGTTATGTTGACACACTTCATCTCCAAAGCAGCTGCTTTCGACAATCTGTTGGGACCTTTGAGCAATGTGAGTTTCTGAGAACAAACGGGCCATTGAACCCCCAGCGCCGCGCCAGCGCCTGGGCCTTGCGAAGTTGCTGAATTAAAAGATCGTGTCTTTTGGGTGATCACATTCACCAACACTGTTCACCATCACTCCCAGGTACAGTTCACCATTACTCCCAGGTACAGTTCACCATCACTCCCAGGTACAGTTCACCATCA